CCAATTCTGGCATAGCTTCGTACGCCCACACCTGGAGAGCCTGTACAAACCCATCAACGGTGTAACCTGTTTGCGTCAAGTCTTTTGCCTTCAAAGACTCCATTAGAACCTTGAACGCCACTCTTCCCCATGGGTAATTCTCAAATCTTTCCAAGTCCATGACTAGCCTTGCAAGACTAGCCCGTGTAGGAGAAGAGAAATTTCTGGCTTCAATGTATCATGTGTAGATGGAAAGGTATCCCAGCCGCATTCGATCAACTCGAGACCACCCGTCACACTTGGTAAATGCTGTTCTTAACTGTTCAATGCTTGGCCCAGCATGGAGATCAATAGCCATCTTCTCCCAGAAAGCAGTCATCTCCTGAGAAATCTCACACCTTGGATTTTCCAAATTCAGGATGTAGTCGCAGTTCAGACCTGTGAGGTTTTCAAACTCTAGAATTGAAAACCTCAAAGGTTCTGGTCCGGCAAGAGTCCAGAGCTCAAACTTCTTCTTGATGTCCAGCTGGAAGGAGAGAATAAAATGTACAAGCCTTGAAGTCCAACCAAAGCCAAGCTCCTGAACTTGATGAATAATCCCAACTTTGACGCTTTCAAATCCTCATATTCCTCAGGTCTGAGATTAACAGATAGAGCTTGAAACAACTTCTTTTCATCAGAATGATACAAAATGCTCCTCTGTGCAGGGGGCTCTTCTCCTAATGTAAACAACCTCGGCGGTAGTTCTGATATATCCATTTTAAGGCCTGCAAACAATCACAAACAACCATCTCAACCACAAAGGTAGCGCACAATTCTAAATACTATAGAAGACTAGCAGACGACTTCCAGGAAGTGAGATAACTACTCAGACGACTTCCTGGAAGTCTTCTACAGAGTCTTACTCTCTGGACGACTTACATGTAAGTCGTCCAGATAGTAAAAATTCGTAGAAGGCTTCCAAGAAGTGAGAAGACTACTCAGACGACTACCTGGAAGTCTTCTACAGAGTCTTACTCTCTGGACGACTTACATGTAAGTCGTCCAGAGAGTAAGATTTCGTAGAAGGCTTCCAGGAAGTAGAAGACTACTCAGACGACTTCCTGAAAGTCTTCTACAGAGTCTTACTATCTGGACGACTTACATGTAAGTCGTCCAGAGAGTAAGACTTCGTAGAAGGCTTCCATGAAGTGAGAAGACTACTCAGACGACTTCCTGGAAGTCTTCTACAGAGTCTTACTCTCTGGACGACTTACATGTAAGTCGTCCAGAGAGTAAGACTTCGTAGAAGGCTTCCAGGAAGTGAGAAGACTACTCAGACGACTTACAGTCGGAGAAGATTTAGTCGGAGAAGATGTGGTCCCTAGCGGTTACAGATCTGCATATCGAAGGGAAAAGAAGAGTCAAGACTACAATTTTTAGGGTTTTCCAGCGGCTAAACGCCTTAAAACATAAGATATAACATACCGGCGGCGGAGGAAAGGGCTACGAGATTTCAGATCTGAAAAAAAAGGAAGCGGATGGTCAGTTTAAACTACGAAAATACTCTAAGGCATGAAAGAAAAACGAGATTCGTCGAAATCGGAGAGATTACCGGCGAAAACGGAGAGATTCGTCGAAATCGGAGAGATTCGTCGAAATCGCCTTTACAATCGTCCTTGGAGAGAAACGGCGCTAGGATTTCGGAAAATTGTGAAAAAGTGAAAAAAATAACTTTTATATGTCCGGTAAAAATCCGGTTAGGTTAAAACGTAAAATGTTAAAATTAACGGTTCGGTACAATTAGACGACTGAAATTTCAGTCGTCTAATCCCTAAACATAACCCCTAAAATTTATTCTTTAATTAAACACTTCAAAACATCAAATTAAACTTGAAAAATGTTTACTATACACAGAAATAAACACATAGAGGTCAAATTAATTTTTTCAAAAAAACATTTCAGATTTTCAAAATCTAACCCTAAGATTAAATACAATACTACAACATATGTTTGCCAAACCCTTAAACCAAAGAATATCATGATTCACTACTTCCACTCATCTATGCTGAAAACAAATCAATTTTATCATTTCTTAATTTATATCACTTATAAATGTTTATAATTACATGTTTTTAATTTTAAACTCATCAAAATATTTTTTACAGAATTTATAAATTATTTTTAAGATTCAATCGTCCAGACAACTAACATTTCAGTCGTCTAAACGACTGAAAAGTAACTCAGCCCGACTCAGACAACTAACTGAGGTTATATTCGTAAAAATGTCTTCTGTTTTTTTGTTTGTTCACAGAGCACTATACTGTAATTTCATAGTCCTTTTAGGTTAGATTTGCATTTGCTTCAAGTTGGGGTCTAGTATTGGGGTTAAAACCAAGTTGTGGGTTAGTTTTGGCAAAAAACCAAATCTTTAATCATAAAAAATTTCCGCGCTTTCAAACACGGATCAAAATCTAGTCTTTTTTTTATGACGGGGGCGAAGGAGGAGAGAGGTAAGTCAACTTTATTTAAAAAATAATATGAAACTTCTTATTATCTATTAAATACGAACACTATTAATATGAACTAGAACTTGATATGCACTCCCGTGCGGATGTTTGATTTAATTTGTTTTCAATATAAACTAATAAATGGTTGATTTTATAAAAAATTATATATATACTTTTTATGTTTTTTAATTTATATATAGAGTAAAATATATTATTTTATTACATAAATGTTCAATAATAATTTTTTATTTGTACATAATATTCTATTAGAAATTTTATAACTTGATGCAATTTAATGTAATTGTACTATTCATATATTAACATGTTGTTTTTTTCTTAATTTATTTTAAAATGAACAATATACTAAAAATTTTTAGTATTAGTTTTCTATGAATTATCATTAATTTTATGATTTTGTTTTTCGAAAATTGAATTCTCGAAATTTTATATTTGACTAAATTAAATAAGGTAATACTATATTTAAAAAATATTTTATATACTATATATTTCAGTTTGTGTTTTTATTTTCACCACAAAGAAATAAATACCATTGTAATTAATTAATTTAAATTAATTTTAAATGCAAAGGAAGAATCTATATATAAAAAATACAAAAGAAAATTATTTAATTTATTGTAAATACAATAGCTAAATATACAAATATAAAGAAGTATTTAATTTGGTATCCATGTTTTCAAACAATTCTCATTTATTCTATTATTCTTATTTCCAAACAAAATCAAAAAATACTTCAATTTTAATAATATAAATGCATATTAATGTTTAAATAAATATAAATTAAATATTACATGGAAATGTCATCAGAAATTTATTAAACTAATGAGAATACACATATATATAGTTTTGTTTCTTTTCCATAATCTATATATATGATTTAGTTTCAAGTATGGATTTATTTGTCACACCATTCATATTATTAGATTTTAATAAATTTTAGATGAAAAACTTGATTTACAGACCAGTTAATATACATATACATATGTATGGTTTGGATGTGAATGTGAAAAATGAAATTTCATTCTTAAAGGATTAAAAACCTAATCAGTCATATATAGTTATTGATAAAAAAAACTGAGCAAAATATTAAAAATATCATTTATACTTTTAAAATTAATCAAATAACAGAAGTAAATAAATAAAATATCTAAAATCTATTTATTTAAAAATAGCTATTAAAAATTTACATTCAATTTGAAAAACTAAAATATATTATAACATATGAAAAATATAATAATATTACATTATATTATGAAATTATTTATACCCACAAATTTGCAAGCAACCACCTAGTTGAAAAACTAAAATATATTATAACATATGAAAAATATAATAATATTACATTATATTATGAAATTATTTATACCCACAAATTTGCAAGCAACCACCTAGTTGATTTTAAACAGTAAAAGCCTCTTTCTCTTTCGGAGAGTTTGGTAGTTAAGAGTAATTTTCCTTGAACATTCGTCTAATTGATAAGGAGAGGACAAACAGACATACACTTAAGACTATTATTAAGTTTATTCAATGATTTACAGTGTTGAAGATAAGCAACCTCTATCAAAAGCTTCCTTGTTTGCAGATAAATATCCAGCTAGAGTATGGTATAATTCCTTATTGGCTTATTGTTCTGGACCGGATCATCTCTTCTGCAGAGACTACAGTGTCCAGCATTCCAGGTGTTAGATGAGCTTCTCTTGATATGTTTTTATGGTCTTGCATGACCTGTTCTTTAGATCTGCAGGACAGTTATTTTACTAGGAAGACTTTATGACATGGCGACTGATTGCGTAGATCTGTTACTTTTCCTCAGATAATTTTTGATGTAAAGGGATAAAGCAACCAAACCCAAGCTTTAGAGTTGAGTCAAAACAATAAATGAACGTAAGCTCTCTTTCTCTTTAAAGTTCATTACTCTTACTAACACATTGACTAACACTCAATCCGCGAAGAAGATCACATTGAAACGCCAAGGAAAAGAGGTAAAATATACAGCTAGAGAACTACTGACGAGAAATACTGCTTCTAATGTTTATATATTAAGTCACCGGAACCAAGAGATTGGAGTAGAGTTGGTTTGGGGAAGCTGTGGTATCATACAGTGATGAAGCTGCTGCTGCTGCTGTGGCTGTTGCCACTGATGCAGAGAGACACTAGTACTAGTAGTGATGCTGCTGTTTTCTTTTTCTTCCACATCCATGTCTGCTTCTTCCATCATCACATCATCACCATCTAACTCTACAATCTCTGGCTTTGTGGGTTCCTGGACGGTTCCTGTGGATTCCAGAAACTGGAAATGAGATGGGTTCCAGGGAACAACAGCTTGTTGCTTGTTAGTTTTGTAATCTTCATCAGCTTCTGCTACATCATGAAGAAACCTATCTGCAAAATAAGATATCTATATTAGCAGTGTTCGTTTCACAATTTGAATCACAAATTTCTCAAGTCTAATTATGATTCTAATAAACACTTGTTCTTAAACACCAATTAAATCTTAAATCTATCATACCTTAGAAGCAATAACATCAAGGAAACAAAACTTGCAAATGAAAATAAAAGTTAAAAGAGTTAAGAGAAGGCTTACTCTTCAACCCTGAGATCAAGCTTCGATCAACGAAAAGGTGAGGCTGGTGATGATGAGGAGTAGGAGGCTTGAACAGCACAATCGCTCTCTCTTCGTTCTCTGGAGGAGGAGACACGTGTTCCTCCATAACCACCTCTTCCTCCTTAATCGGTGGTAAATCCAAATCCTGATAGACGCAAATCAATCAGATTTTAACTTAGGGTTTCAAAATTAGAAAAATTAAAAAGAGAGAATAATCTTACAAGTCGGCGAATCTTTTTGGCGGGAGAAGAGAGGGAGAAATCGGAGAAGTCGTCGTTGACTCGGTCAATCTCCTTCCTCTTCATCTTCATCGGCACACAATCGTATCCCGCCATGTTTTTTTTTCTTTTGACAAGAGTGCGAACAAAGCTTCAAGCGAAATCAGAAATTGTAGGAAAAGAATGAAGAGTATCGGACGAAGAATTGAAGGAGCTCGCAAAGCTTTTTAAGCTTTAGCAGAAAGATCAAGTAGTTAGTGAAGAGGTTGGGGAGAGAAGAGAAACAAAAAAGGAGAAGAGCACTTTCTCAGGTATTCTAGATTCATCCAGAAAGAAACCGCAGTAGACTTATATGGATTTTTTTTTTCTTCCTTTTTCCGCTAAGATATTGGATACTGGATTGAACCTTCTTAATCCAATTTCAGTTAACAATGTATTGGGTTGGCATGTTTCGAGACCACGGGTAATACGTAATTAGGCCTGGGTATTAGATACATAGTTCAGTTTCGACGTATTTCACATTAATTATTTTTTATTATTAATCATAAATATTAATCTATGTAGTTTTGAACATTGAAAAGTTTTAATAGGAAGTTTTTTAAAAATGCCTCATTCTCTAAATGAAAACGAGAATGATATTACAGGCACAAATTTTTTTTACAAATTTCACTATATATATATATATATATATATATTAAATATAGTAATAGGAAAGAAAGAAATATATAGAGAAGATTGCAACATTTTTTTTTATTGACAAATACCGATTTAGATATTGTATAATATAACTATATTTTATCGACATTATAATTATGTATAAACAAAATCATAAAAAACATGCTACAAATATCAATATTATAATTTATAATAAACCTTATAAAGATTATAAAACTATAATTTAATATAATATATATGCCTATATGGTATGTACAATCTAAAATATAATAAATTAATAATAATACTAAATTTTAAAATCTAAATTTATTCATCAACAATTTCACATGAAACTATATGTCATATAGATTTTGACATATAATCAAGATAATGCTTGATGGCCAACCTTCATTCTTTTTTGTTAATGGGCAATTATTAAAATTTTGGGGTAATGTCCATTCATGCCAAAAAAGGGTTAATGTTCATTAACTCAGTTAGTCTAGGCGTCGGCGTTTCAACTTTAGGCAGCCAACGAGGGCATAACTCGGGCCGGTTGCTTCACCGATTTACAGCATTTTTGAACAAGGGTTATACTCCTTGTTTTAAAGATAGGCCACGATCACCTAAACGATAGGTGCCATTCATCCATCCTTATTCATGTCAAATTAATCTAAAAAATTGGATGTTTAATTTTATTTTGTCTAGATTAGTTCGATGAATGTATAGACTGTCTCGATGACTGTCTAACCATTTAATTTATTTTGTAATTTTTGAAAAATAATTTTTATTTATTTATTTGATTTAAATATTATAAGTGAAACTTGTTTGCAAAACTTTGATAAAAATTATATTGTATTAAATTTATATTTGTGTGTTTTATATCATTTAAGTATGAAAATATATTAATTTTATAAAAAATGAAAAATTAATATATTTTATAACATATTAAATAATATGAAATTTTATTCAGTTTAATTTCTGACTTTTTTGCAAGGCACTAGATCCGACCTAGCCATCCAACTAACGTCTAGCATAATTACAAATAAATATTAGATGCATATTTTATCGCTTAAGAACATTTTCAATATAAAACTATATTTTCTATTTAAAAGTGGAGTATAGAGTGAAAATGTTTCAACTTTCTTCTACGAAATAATGAATAAACAAAAAAAACAGATATTTCATTTATGAAATAAACCTATTTAAGAGTAAAAACTGAAATTAGGTTGGCAATGTCCTAACAGAAAAAGACTCTAAAAATAAAATAAGACATAGTTTTATAAATCATATAACTTTTAAGAAACATAGCTAAACAATAGAAACATAACGGGCCAACAACCATACATATTTCAACAATCTTTTGAAAAGAAGCATAATATAATTATCAGGCTCATTGAAAGTTTGAAACGCTCAATAGTACTCACACGTCTCTGTCCCTTTTGCATTCGGCTGGCATAACTGGGAACCGTGTACGGTCGGTACAGTAGTTGTAGATGGTCCATTTCATACGGACCCATTTGAGACGACGATATTGCTCGGCATCAAGGTCACGGAATTCTTTCTGGTCCCACCACATGCGGCCTTGGGTAGCACAGTACTTGGCCTCTACAGAAGCTTGGCAGCCGTCAATGTGGAAACCTCTGTAGGAAGCTATGAACGGTGCATTAGCCCAATTGGTTTTCTCTAAACCTCCTCTCGTGGCCCAATCGTCAGCGTTCCAGAGGCTCGAGTATAGCTTCATGGGTTGGTTAAATGGGAAACGTACTCCTAGATCCTTGGCATTCTTGAACACACGGATTGGTATATTGTCAACAAAGAATCTGATAAAATAAAAAATCAAACTCACCGTTATTAGTTAACCACAGCGGTTTGAACACATAAAGTTGTAGAATTAATTTGAACCCCAAATTAGGGCACATGATTGACAGTTTCAGTAGTGAGTCACTAGCCTATCCATCTATGCTAGCTCATTTAAATGTTTAAAAAAAAAAGCTGAACTTTTTTGTCTTTTTGACTCAATTGTCTCTCTGGAAAATCTTGCAAGACCCCACTACTTTTTATAGGATCAAGATTGGGTCACGCCCGAGGTTAAAATTATACTACTATTAAGAATATTATAATAGTAATAATTTGAAAACTGCGACAAGATAGGAAAATGAATAATAATGGTGGGGTGGTAGGACCATGTTATACCTGACACCTTTTAACATATAATATATACGAAAGTGTAATGAAAGTGTAATCTAAGGAATGAGGATTAAAGTGCATACACAATTTGGTAGAGATTCCAGAGGACGGAGTAAGTATGATAAGCCTTTGAAGGGTCGAACCAGAGATAGATGCGTTGCTCTCTGTTTCCCTTTCCTCCTGTGAATACATTTGTCTGCAATATTGCTGGCTGGCCTGTCCTGTTCCCGAGAAACTCGAAATCTATCTCGTCATGCTCGTTGTTAGTCGACGACAGCTTCACACATTAAATTTTCCAATTATTAGTTAGATTTGTATTAGTGACGGCAACTATACAAAATTATTAGCAGTATATTCTGATCGATTAGTATTTCTCTTGTTGTTTGCTAAACAGTTAGTTATTCTATTTTAGTCAGTAAAAATGTTTAGGTTATCTTTTTGAGATTTGTGGAGAGATTCACATAAAATGCAGTGACGACCCCAGCGGTGTCACCAGCCGGCAACTTTATGTGCATACTGAAATGCCCGAACAAATATGACCCTTTGGATTGAAACCCTGTCCCTGTTTTCATTCACACAACATAGGAAACAAAGTGAATATATTAAACCAAAAAAAAAAACAAAAAGGAAACAAAATGCGCATTCCAGGCTCTTCTAATGTTTTCGGATATTACTGCGCACAATTGAAATAAATACATCTTTTGTATGGTTTTCTAATTAATGTAAAATATTGTTCCACAAGCTGACACTAAAAATCGGAAACCCAAAGCTATAACTTAATTGCCTATGCTTCAGACCCAATCTACTCGTTGCAAAAATCTTGAAATAGTAAATGTACCAGTGTATTTGTCGAGGATGAGTTGGAGTTCGGAACCTCCATTAAGTTGCTTCTGGTGGTCAAAAGCCCAAGTTGGGACGTAGTTTCGGCCGAATGGCACATCAATGGCTTTCCGTGGAGGAATTGCCATTACAGTAGAAGAAGTTATCAGAAACAGAGCCATGAGAACCCATGGAGTTGAAGAAACAGCCATTGCTGGGGTATGGAGAGAGAGAGAGGGAGATGTGATGATGATGTGTGGTGAGTGAAGCTAAGGGGGGTGTGGGTGGCTTTATATAAGAACGAATTCTTTGCTGGGACGTTCTTCTTTATTACGATAATAATTAACTTTTTAAAATCCAACATATTTTCTAGTTTCGCGGACCTTTCTATTTTTTTGGTGAGAACTGAAATTATAATGGGTTACAACTGTAATATGGATATCATACGTACAGCTATACAACTTTCACAATCAGTTTCTTATTTCAGTATAAAATATTACGAATTGTTGGGTAAACAAATTGTGTTAATGTTACGAGGTGTGAGCCTTTTATAATACACAAAAAGTGATGAATTCAAATATAGCCTTTTAACCAATAATAGTTATTTCAAAACAATATATAGTTTAAGAGAACAATATGAAAGACGTGTGTGAGCCTCACATTCGTTTTCTGCTGTTTGTCATATACTCAATGTTATGTTGAAGATCAGATATGTAATATATAGTTTTGCATTTTTTCTTCTATCCAATCTTGCACACAAAAGAAAATGTACCATTTCTTACAATATAAACACATGAACCAACACCGAACTTCACCTTTTCTTTGCTGTTTTGATCTAAACTCGAAAATAATTTTTTGTTTCCATCATGTGATTACTTGCTCCACTATTCAAATATCAAACACTTGCATTGCCTTTGTCGATATCAAAATTCTTTAAAATCACTTTGTCTTCATTCAAAAACATCACTTCGTGAATATAGTGCATCAAACTCTTGTGTTTTAGGTTTATTTATTAATTCTTTATTGGTTTCTTGGGACAAATAGCTGTAAACGTTATTTTTTCACGTGTTTTCCTTTGTTGTGTAACACATGGTTTTGGTTGTTGAACCGTCCTCAACCTACGCCTCTTCCCTTCCATCATCTACCTCTTCCATAAAAACTTTCATAGTTCAGGTGACTATGTTGGTCGTTGTTTGAAAACATAAGCTTTCCATGGTCTTTTTTCTGAGTTTCTTCCCCTACATGTTCCTTATACGCCCTTAATCTTCCAACTAGATCCTCAAAACCCATAGAATTTAGGTTTAGGCTTTGCTCAAAAGATGATATGATATGGATGTATTTGTGTCTCGGAAGTCCCTTCAAGAATTTCTTCATCATCATGGACTCTTCTATGAATTTCTCCCAACGAGACTGCTTTCGATGATAAATCCGGTATCTTTTCCGCAAAGTCATCAACCATATCATTATCATCCATCTTCAACCTATCAACTCCGTCATCAATCTTTGAAGTCTTGCCTCTCTTACACGATCAGTTTCAAGGTGTCATGACTTGATGGTGTTTCAGACCTCAGATAGAGTACATATTTCATGAGACTGCTTTCGATGATAAATCCGGTATCTTCTAGGTAAGTTATATGAAATAGTAATATATAAAAAAAATGTTACGGAGAAAAAACTTTATTTGAGCATTTATTGAAAAAAAAATGAAGTATAGAGATGACTTTCATGAAAT